GAGAGAGAGAGAGAGAGAGAGAGAGAGAGAGAGAGAGAGAGAGAGAGAGAGAGAGACGGTCTGCTATCCGTGCGTTATGTCCAAAGAGTGTAAGCAGCATTCCAGAGATCGGCTGTGACAAAGTGTTTTGTCGGAGTTTGACCGACTCATGGGGAGGCTGAAAGTCTCAACAGTGTGCAGAATCGCCTAACTGATTACACTGAAAGTGACAATCCACCTTATCCCCGGTTGTGGTTAAGTATCAACGACTGCCCGACATCATCTTGACCTTTGCTGGCATGAGACCCCATGCTCAGGAAGCGGGGCCAGTTTAACCCAGTTTAACTAAGTAATAATAACTTCCGTAGCTTCGGTGATTACTTTACTAATCAAGAAATATTTCCCTGCCAGGGCTACACCCACTCAAGAAGAGTTGAAGGGGTGTGGCGAAGGGGGGAGAAGCTGTGTCCTCGACAGCTTCTGCCATGTGAGACAGGGAGGAGCTTCTCTCGTGGCAGAGCATCCGTGTGAGACACGGAGAAAAGGAGACGATGGGGAATTCCTAATCTTGCCCTCTACTCTTCCTTTCATTCTCGTCCCTGTCCTTCTCCACATCCGCCTCCTCCTTTTTGCCCTTTCCCCTCTCCTCCTCCCCCTTTACTTCTTCCTCCTCCATGCCCACCCCCTCCTAAGTTTCACAAGACTCACAACACCGCAGTGCCATAAGCCACTGGCAGTTGGTTCAACTCACTCAGACAAGGCACTGGTGTCTTCTCTCAAACAAAATGCACCCTCATAATGACTGTAGGAAACCGGAGAAATAGGTTGTATAGTAGGAAGATTTTCATGCCCGGCCGGGCACCCGGGCATGATGCCCGGGGTACCGGGCTGTGGCGGGGTGTGCAATTTTTTTCGACCTTTCTGCGCTCTCACAAAAACCCCAAATCCGGGCTGTTTTCATTTTTTAGAGTCTGCTGTCAAGGAGGGGGAAGGGGGGTATAAATTTGTCTCAAGGGGTTAAGGGGGTTTAAAGGGGGTAAAATGTTTTTTTTTTTTTATCTCCGATTCGATGAGGAATTTTGATGTGATCCTCAGCCAACAGTTGTTTGTATTGCAACTCTAGTATTATTCTACACAACATTTTTTTCTTTTCTGGAATATCTTTTGACTTTGTCTTTTTTTTGTTTGTTTTTTTTGCGCTGAGGCTGCCCGAAACCCTGCCTGGGGGCGTATATCCGGGCACAAGTTGGGTGGCCCGGCGCCCGGAAAAACAACCAATGTATTCCTTTTTTTTTGTATTATTTTTAATGGAAGTCCAGGCTGTTGTAGAGGCTGGCTACTAGGCATATGACAGGCCTGTGGGCACCTCAACATTTCATCACCCCGATGTATTGCCTAACCGGTCCCCTATGAGACACCCCTCCCACCCTTACTCATCATCACGATCCCGGACGCATCCCTACTCCGAAGGTTGTACCCGAGTATACCCAGGATCATCACCCACTGGCATTCTAGTGATCTTTTTCACCGGACAGCAGTTATAGGCGGCATCATGGCCAAGCAGGTTCTCACCTCCCTCTGCAGCCCTGATTGAAGCACTACCGAACGAGCCACGTCAGTACTTGTACTGTGCACTTGGAGCGCTAGGGGTAAATCTCTGAATTCTTGCGGAGGTTAGTCAAACCTAGAGCAAAACCTAGTTTTACTGGTTTTCTAGAGAGATCCTAGCCTTATCGTATATATATATATATATATTTTTTCTATATTCTTCTCTCAACTTCTGTTTTTGCCTTTCACTACCTACTCCTAGGGCTATCTAGAGGGGACCCCTGCAAGCATAGTTTCCTCTCCCTGTGAAGGGGAGATTTCATGTTGCCCCTTGCCCCTAATGTTTAGGGTATAGGGTTGGGGCCGCCAGTGGGGGTCTGGCTAACACAAAGACCGAGACCGGCCAGTAGCTGCGCCTCCCTTTTTCATCGTCCCCCACACCTCATCGAGCAGCAGCAGTGGCTATGGCCAACACTCTTCCACACACCACACACAACGCACTCATGCCCGCACTCACACCCATGTTGGTCATAGATTCCACTAATACTGATCAGGAGTATCCAGAGGACTGTCCCAGTTCGTATCATCATCAGATCCCTCTGGTAAATCTTTGAATTCTTGTAGTCGAACCTAGAGCATCTCCAGTT